AGGCACAGTAACAATAATGTTCCCAGCTTCATTATTAGAAATGAGTGCTTCAACTAGTTTAAATGGGAAACAGTATTGTTTGTGTCATATATTCACATTCTGTCCCATCTGATGGATAGTTACAGTTTGAAAGTTTTTTTCCGAACAGCTAAAGTATAGAAACTATAGTGAGACTCATGACAGTTTTTATTCCAACCATCTAAACATCACAAAATTCTGAAGCTATTGACAATAAAAAATGTTTTCCATGTTGAAATAAAAAAGGTTTATTATGAATTTACAGCAAGCAACCAATTTATTAGGTACATTTGTCAATTTTCTTATCTAATGACATGGAGGAAATTTTGGCCATGTATACCTAGATGTAATTAGATTTACTTGCTATGTTCAAACTATGGAGGTATATTTAGTGCAAAATTATATGTGGTAAATATACCGTCATGCTCATCCAAGTATTATGCTGAAACTGTCTGAGCCTGTCAATGTGGACCCAAAACTACAATTTCAATGAACTACTTCTTGGTTCTCCACAAGCCTCTCTCCCTTTCTCTTCCTGGGAATTAAACCAACCATTACAGCAAAGAATGCTCCAAAATTCAATTGGAAACAGATGAAAAGTCCTCAAATTAAATATCACTTAATATTAGTGATCCAATAAGTTTTCAATTACTAAAAGTACTTCTGTTCATTTACTGGTGAATAAAATATGCAGTAGATCTGTAAAACATCAAGCTTAAAGGTTGAATTTCTACTAGAACCTTTAAGTTTTAACACATGTGCAGATATCTAAAAAAAAATACCAGAAAAAAGTGAAATTCAGCTGCTGAGGAGATTTGCAACAAGGAAAGTCGCAACAATAAGGTTTTTAAGGCAAAAACCTCAGCAAAGTCACATGCTATTTTTCAAAATGGCCATCTTCCACATTTTCTGAAAAGCAGACAATAAGAACCCAAGGAAGTTTCTCCAATGGAATGTGTTTGAGTTTGTGTAACAATTCAAATGCTTTTAAATAAATACCTTTTTGAAAGTTTTAAAAATTTGTCATTTTGGTATAAAAGTAAAAAAAAAAAAGTTCCAGTCAACCAATGTTTCTATCTGGCATTCAGATGGAGTCTAGAGCGGAGTAGTTCACTCAGATTGACATCTGTGTGTGTTTTAAAAAGCAAGCTCACCATATAAAATCAGCAGTGATAATATGCTGCCATTTGTAAAAGCAGTATGCCTCTGCACATCACTTTCAACTTAGAATATGCAGTACGTCTAAAAAAAAAAATTGAAAAAAAAATATAAAAACTTTATGAAAAGGTTCAATATTTTTTCTAACTCGCTTCAGAAATGCATTTCCTACCATTTTTATGATTGCAGCTTCTGAATAATAACACCCAAAATTCAGTGCCTCAATAAGAAAGAGTGTCTTAAATCAAAAGATTAGGATTCTAAAAAGTATGTTCATTTCTACATCCCCAATACTCACTTGGCTTCCTTTAGCTTGAATCAGTGTGGTTTAGCACATCGGTGATCAGCCTGTGGCACTGCTGAGGTGTGATGGAGCCTGTTTTGATAGCGGCCTTCAGATCATCTGCATTCCTGGTTCTGGCGTCTCTCGTCTCCTTCTTGACAATACTCCATAGATAATTTGCTGGCCAGTCAAAAGCAGGAACACTGTGGTCATTGAACCAGTTTTTACATTTGGCAGTGTAGGTAGGTGTCAAGTCCAGATAGAAAATTAAAAAAAGGAAAATAAAATCTGCATTTCCATAGAGCTTTTCAGAAGGGGGAAGCATGAAATGCTGTAGACTTGCCTGGTAGAAGGCTGCAGTGACTGTGGACTTCAGAAAACACAGTGGGCCAACACCAGATGACACAGCACCAACAACCATCTCAGACAGTGGAAACTTCTCACTTCTCCACTTTACCTCCAAATCCTGAGACCTTGCTCTCCAGATGAAAGGCAAATTTTACTTCCATTTTGAACTACAGATCAATAGTCCAGTTCCTTTTCTTCTTAGTCCAGGAATGAAGCGATTCTGATGTTGACTTTGGTTCATGAGTGTCTTGACATGAGGAATGAGACATTTGCAACCCATCGGTAGGATTTGTCTGTGTGTAGTGGCTCTTGATGCACTGACTCCAGATTCAGCTACTCCTTGCTAAGACACCCCAATTGTTTGAATGGATTTTGTTTGACATTCCATTCAAGACTGCAGTTGTCGCTGTTGTTGGTGCTCCTTTTCCTACTTCTTTTCTTCCAGTCAACTTTCTGTGAATGTACATGGATACAGGACTCTGTGAACAACAGGCTTCTTTAGCAGTGAACAGTTGGGCTTTACTTATCTCATGGAAGGAGTCAGTGATCGTCTTCTGGACATCTGGCAAGTGTCCTCCCTTTTATTGCTAAATTAAACCTACCACAGCTATTTTCCTCTCTCCAGTGGTAGTAACTACTCCCTCAGCATGTTAATGTTCTGCAGAGGTCTGCTAACGAGTCATTGTTTGACCCAGGTGTGTTGAACCAGAGAACCAACTAAAACATGCAGGATACCAATTCTACAGGGCAACAGAAGGACAAAATCAAGATAATGGTTGTGTGCTTAAATATAAAAGTCAAATTAAATCAAGTTTTATATGCATAGTGGAGAATTACTTCAATGTTAAATATCTAAGTTTTAGTCGTGCTCATCGAATGCAGAGGTTGCTGTAATATTAAAACAGGTTTTTTGGTAAGTTTATCAATACATTCTGCAACAAAAACCCAATGAGAACGATCCTAATCTTGATGTGTCCCTCAATGAAAATGAGTTTACACCGCTCATCTAGATGCTCAAAACACCTCTGGAAGTTTTTTGAGTTAATTAGCTGATTAGAGTTTCCCTAGTTGAATTTTTTCACATTCCATTTTCCTAAAACACTGAATATATGGTAGTTGCTTTTTTGTTTTTTTTGTATGCTATAATCATCAACATGACAAGAAATAAAGGCCTGAAATATTCCACTCCATGTTTAATGAATAATATACTCTTCAAATATTAGCTTCAGGTTCTGAAATATTAAACTTCCTACTTTTTTTTTAGATGTGCCTGTACAATACATAGCAACTTACCTCTATAAAAATTCCCATTAATAGCTCAGAAACATGCATCAAGCTTGACTGTTCTGTCTGTCATCATCCTCACCAACAGGAAGCTTATAAACAAACAAAGGGCCATCAGTCATCTTTTGATCAATAAAGTTTGGGGTAATATTATATTCATATTTGCTGAGCAGTTCATAAAGAATGATAAAGAAAACGGCAAATTACTTCTTTGAATTGTAGATGTTAGGCCTTCATCGCAATAGTTTAACATAACCACATGAATGAAATATATCCTTATTTTTTTTTAAAAATGCATCTGCTTCAAGGTGATTAGGAAAAGTTATGTTTGCTTTTGGTGCCTTACTAACCTCACATGAAATGTGAAAGAAATACACTAACGTTACAAAACCTAAAATATAACTTTAAGTCAACGTAATACCAGTATGACCTTCATGTTTTCCTGTAAGTTCTGCACTGCTGTGAGGGACTGGCAACCTTTCCAGGACAAAACCTGATGAACACAGGACTCTGGCACCTGCACCTTTATGACCCTGCAAAGACAAGTTACTAGAAACAATGGATGAGTGTATGGAAATAAAAAACTCAGATGTTAAACGCTAATGGCAATGTGATCTGAACAAAATTGATCTTGTGTCTTACTTTCCATGTGATGTTGTTAAAAAACTCTGACATATGTAATTATTACTTAGACCATTTCCAGACGCATCTATATTTAGCATATCTACATTAAAAAATAGAGTAAAAATTACACAGTTACTTCACTGTCAAGTTGATGAGCGCTTGCCTTGATTTTGTAGTGTTTTTGTACCTGAATCTGTGGTGCCATCTGCTGGTCTTTGACATGAAATGCACTCTAAAGAGTGAAGCGTGAGGTTGTGTTATGTTCATATCGCCTCATTCAATATTTGTATTCAAAGCTAAAAGTTCAGTAACATTTTATGCTAACATAATAAATATTTAAAGCATTGTTGGCTATCACATTTTCATCACAGACAGTTTAACACTCAGAGTCATCACTGTTTTGATTTGATTTTGTATTGTTAATGTGAATTTTTTCTTCTTTTTTTGCTTCTTTACTTGCTTTTAAGTCAAAAGAGAGCATTTACCACTTAAATGGACATTTTGAAAGTGTGGTCATATATCACTCATTAAAGCTAATTTTAATTTAAGTGCTTCTTAATCAGTGTCACTTGGTTCTGGACATCAGACCTCCAGCACTGCATGCTATTAATGCATCCAACACACATGATTCCAATGAGTGTCTCTTTGCAACGTGAAAATATGAGCTAATCCCCCAGAAAATCACCTGAATCTTGCAGAACAGAATTTTTTAAGAGGGAGAAGACCCTTAAACCTGAACATAGTCTGAAGATCATTTTTTGAAAGTGTGCTCACATCTGATTTATGAAAGTTTGAGAATATAATTCAGCTCAGTCTGAAAATAGCTGAAGGAACATTTTCATTATCCAAGTGTGGCATAAGTCAAGCTTTGAAAATCTGTTGTGATTTCTTTGAAACTTGTCTGTATTGACTCAGATGTGCTGTAAATACATTCAAGACTTACCACTGAGAGCAGCCACTCACTTTTAAAAAAAAAATTGTATGACCTAATGTGACTATAAATTTCTTCCAATAAATTCAGAACATTATTGACTAATGAATTTATAGCACCTTTCAGTGGCCTTAGACTTTGCTGAGTTTATGACTAATTTAATGAATTCAACTTGAAGCATTAAATCAAGGGCTAGATTGCTTTATTATCCATCTTCATACTGTGGTAGTTAAAAGTCTATAAAACTATACAACAAGCAGCCGGTTTCTGTTTACAGATTTGCAGCCCATATTTCAGACAGCGCTTGAATGCAGCTTCTCTAATCCTCACTAATCTGGATGCAACATCGTCACATGAGAGCTCACATCTGGGGACAGAATCTCGCTCATCTAGTAACGACAAAATACTGGATGGCAGTCATTTTCTGAGACAGGATGGCCATTACAACTTGCCAGAAGGTTACCCTCATATCATGCTCTGTTCTCTGTGTGTCTCTCTTCCTGCCCAGGATGCTTTTACCCAGAGGAAAAAATGAGAGGGGCCAGTCTGAGGGTAAGGCATTTTATCAGGTCATCATCCAACCTACTCCATCTTGAGTCCCTCTTTTGTTGTTGTCAGCTAGCACCATACAGAGAATTTTCAAGGGTTAAAAATCCACCCTACTGTAAATGTGTTTACTGTTTTTAATATACATTCATGTGGTAAGGGAAGTTTATGTGCAGCGCTGAAAAAAGAAGAAAGAAAAATGTGCCACCTCTCATGTTTAAAATCCAACAAATTTTATTATCCGACAACGTTAACTTGAATCAACACAAAAAGGAGTTTCCAAATGACAGTTTTATTTAAAAGATCATCCAAACTAAATCGGTGAATTGGAAACCCGCCGCCAACGAGTGTGAATAATGTTTCAGTTTATACCTGTCACTACTGGGATTGATTATTGCTTGATGAGTATTCCATTTAATAGAACTTATCTGACATGATGAGGGCAAAAAAGATCCCAAACAGCAACAGATCATGTTCTGATGTATAAAGAACATATTAAAAAACAAAGTCAGTCACCCTGGAGAAGATTATGAAAAAGAGAGTCCAACTTTTAAAATAACTCAAGATAGCAACTCATGTAGGACCTCACGATATAACTCAAATCAATATTTAACACACAACAGACCTAATTTGTTTCAGGTTAGTTCAGAGTTCATGATAAAACAAATAGAAATAGAGACAGGGGAAAAAAGTTATTAATGGGAGTCCCACCCAAAAAATTAATTCCCAAAAGTTTTGGGAATTAATTTCTAAAAGTAGATTTGTTTTTTGTTTGCTTTTTTTTTTTTTTTTGCAAGGTGCACATCCAATTACCTCTGTTGTTACAGGGGGAAAGGTCGTTTCTTTCTTGATATTTCTGAAACTATGAATTTAAAATAATACGGCAGCACATCTTTCATTTTGACATTTTGTATTTTAAATAAGCAGCTCTTATTTTTAATAAAAATAAAACTAGAAAAATGTGGCTTGGTCTTTATGAATGACATTACTCCTACATATACTTTATTAAAGGTTTACTGCAAAACCTCATTTCAAACATGCCTGAAAAATAGGATAATATAAATATGTGCTGACAATGAACAAATCTGCAACTTTCAAATTAGCTGGTTCTGCACACAAAAATCATTAAACATGATTATTCTTTTAAAATGAGTAATATTTGTTAAATCAATTCAAGCAGAGTTTGAGTGATTATTTTTCACCTCCTGCAGTTGGACCTGGGTTTTACCCTCCTGGGATGCATCAGCTGTCAGTGTCAGAAGACCCGGAGCGCTGGGACGTGGATTCTTCTCGCTCCCTCACACACACTGTTGAAGCCAGGGTTAAAGTTCAAAGTATTGGGCGGGGCAAGAAATACAACCTGATGGCTCAAGTCATACCCACATACGGCTTTGGGATTCTGCTTTACATCCTTTATATTATGTATAAGGTAATCAGTGCGACAAACCAAACAACTAATTGGTAGATTATTGTGTGTGGGATGAATACACCTTATAATGATTCTTATATTTAGTTAATGTTCACTCTTAGTTAAATGTACTCTTTGCTGTCAAGGCGATTATGAGTTTTATTTAAACTATAAAGTATAACAATTAAAAGATGCTGCAGCCTTAGTAATCATAACTGTGTTTGTTCACAGCTAACATGTAAAGGAAAGGTGAAAAAATCTGAGATCTACTCAACAGAAAAGACAAAAACCACATCGAACACAAGTGGTAAGTTCTTTCAGACACAGAAAGTGTTTGCTGGCATTGAGTGTGGCTCAGACTTTTTGTTTTGTAGTATGATGGTGTAAATTTCACATGGGAGAGTTTTGTGTTTGTTTTTATTATTTTGCTCTTTTAAGAAACATATTAGGAAAAAACAGGAGCACGGGAAAACCGGCAGAATTAATTTTGAAAGTACATGAAAGTGATCTTGATTTTCTTTTTAATCATTTGAAATGATTTGTAAATTATCGCACTGTTTATTTATATTAATCACTTTATTTTTATGAAATGTTCAGCTACTGATCATGAGCTTGCCAGGCTTCAGGAGAAACTTCTGCAAACAGAATTAATGCTGGAGAGGATTGTCTCAGGGAGGAGTCGTTGTTCTTCAAGGTAAGGAGTTTCTATTCTATGGTACCTATTGCAACCGACATCTTGAAAATGATTGAAACATATTATTTGATGGTAGACTAGCCTAAAGAGAAAAAGCAAAAATTGAGAATGAAAATAACTTTAAAATAAGTAATATTTTCAACTAGAAAATGAGCAAAAATCTCAAAAGAAAAAATTTCTCATAAAGTAGCAGAGCTACTGTGCCAGTAAGCGGTGCACTTTCTATGGCGATAGACATTTAAAAGAAAAACAATAAGTGGGCAATCATTCCCTCATGAGCCTCAGAAAGATAAGATTGATATTTCTACAATAACACACTTTTGGGAAATCCAAATGTTGAAGAATTCATGAGCAAAAATGCAGCTTGTGTACCTTTTACTGCGGTTTAGTAAAAACCTGACAGCTAGCTTTTGATAAAAAGTAATTTACTTGCCTGATATTCTCAAGTTAACTTGTTCCGCTTTATAGTGGCAGAATGCGAAAGAGTAAAACTTCAACATCAAAGAAGGAAGAAAAACTCCTGAGGCAACTCCGACAGATCACACTGCTGATGCAGGAGGGCCGTTTGGAGGGAGCCTCTCCCGAGATGGAGGCTGAGCAGGTCCCCTACGGTGCAGATTGGGAAGGTATGTGCTCAAGTATAAATCCTCAAGCTCCTCTAATAATTTCAGAAAATATGTTTGAGGAGCAGGGCTTACCTCCAGTGGAACCCTGAGCATTTTATTTATGTAAAGCTGACTATTTCCATGCTCCATTAACACAGGCTATCCAGAGGAGACTTATCCAGCGTATGATGATTCCTGTGATAGACATAAGTACGAGACCATTAAGCTGGAGGAGAATCCCAGCCAACCCACTGCTGAGGCCCTTGCAGAGAGGATGGAGCAGGAAGAGGAAGAGATCATGGCCAGGAAACTCTCCATTGTGGAAGAGGAAGACGAAGAGGAAGAAGAAGAGAAAGAGGAAGAAGATTTAGATGAGGAGGAAGAAGAGGAAGAATTAGAAGAAGTTGGGGGATTAGAAGAGGAAGCAGAAGAGGACAAAGAGCTTGAATATGTGGAGGATGAAGAGGAGGAAGAGGAGAAGAAACAGTTGCTCATTCCTGCATCTCCTGTTATTGGCAGAAAGCAGCAAAGAGTTGGTTTGGAGGTGAGCAAAGAGCTGCAACAACACAGCGGAGGGAAGAAGCAAATAACCTTCAGTGAGAAGAAACACGTGTTCCACTACCCCAAAGAGGATACCTATGAGGAAGAGGAAGATGAGGAAACAGAGGATGAGATGGAGGAGGACATAGAAGTAGAAGAGGAGGAGGAAGCTGATGATGATGATCCTCTGATGGAGGCAGAAAGCCTGCAGTTTAGTTGTGAAGGCTCCTCAAACCCAGAGGAACAAGCAGAGGAAGATGAAGAGGAGTATTTGTTAACTTTGGCACCACTGGAAGATGAACATCTGATTCATGCAGACGCCCCAAAAGAGGTCGGGCAGAATGTCCTGAGGATGAGAAACAGAAGAGAAACTTTTACAGTGACCTAATTCTGCCCATGAAGTAATCGTTATCCCTCACATGTTTAAACCACCAAAAATCAAACTTATTTGAGAAACATCATCCAATGATAAAAGCATTGCAAATGTTTTTCTTTTGTTCACTGTAGAAAAGTGTAATCAAATGTATTGGTTTATGATGACTGAGCTTAAAGACCTGACATATAGGAAAATGTATTTTGTTGTTTTTCTAGTTGTTTGTCATTGATTTGAAGAAATTCAGTCTGATTACTATCCATTAAATTCTTCACAATCTGTCACTAAAAAGAAGAAGAAACATGTTACATACGTGCTTTCTATATTGAAATACTTCCACCTCCGCTTGTTTTATGTCACTTATCACTTAGTTGAAACATTTTTAATTCGTTCTTTCACATACTGAACAGTAATAACAGAGAGCAAAAGTGTTGCTGTCAATGACACTTATCAGGCAAGTATCATCGCTAACAGGGAGACTGAGAAACAAAACTCTTGCAAAAATGCAACACTGTCCTGACAGGTACAGGTGACACATTTCATAAACAAGCTTAATTGCATAGGATTTGAAGTCGACATTATAACATCATAACAGAAAATCCAATTCAGCCTAGATTGCTGACATCTTGACTGATGTTCCTGCTTTTTTGGGAACATAAGATGAATATTTGGCTCCCTCTTATGGTTTGATTTAACTGAGCAGCGTTAAATACAAACATGATGAGCGCCACAGATTATCCCAACTCCTCACTGAAATGACGGCCATGCAGGGAAAAACTATCAACAGCAATAACACCAAAGACAATGGCCACGACTTAGTGAGAAATATACATGATTTTTTTTTCCTCCAAGTGATGTCCTAATTCTCAGCATGGAGGATAATATTTTTATAAATACTAAAATAACTATTTTGTTTGCTTACATTTTGTTTCTTAAGAAAGATCTGTTTTGTTTGTTTTAGTTTTGTGTCATATTTAGGTGTGTCTACTGACATTTACAATTAAATCTGTAAGTGTCCACCAATTCCCATTGTGCACCCTTAAATCATCATATTCTCATCTGTGTTCTTCATACTTAGTATATTCACTTGTCCATCTTTTTCCTAGCCCCCATGAGGCTTTGCGTGATTTATGGGCGCGACGTCCGCCGTAAACCGGAACTGCCATTTGTTTACATACTATGCAATCCGGTAACCGCTATTCGTTAGAGCTTTTAGGCTATAAAATGAGTGGGAACACCAGCTATAACAGCTTAAATGTGGCAATATTGTTTCACTGCTACCTACAACTATTGCGGCGAGGGATGGCGACTTGGAGAAATGGACGCAAAGAACATGAGAGGTTTGAAATTAGGTTACAACAGTGACTATGTGATTTTATATGATTGGTTTAAGTCGAGCATTGTTGTCTCTGGCATTTCTATAATCTGTGACATAGTGAGAGTGCTCTAGTTTTTACCAAACAAACAAACAAAAAAAAAGAAAACAGGCAGAGCTTTGTGATTTTACTGGTATTAAGAAATGTTGCTCTCATACTTTAACTGCTTAAAAGAATTATCAACATCCAGGATATTTCATTTGACAGACTGTTTATTTTTCTCATGAGTAAAGGACTTTGTTTATACCAGAGTAAAATTGTACACCATTCACTGTACATAATGATGACAGCACTGAAACCGGAAAATGACAGAACCTCCGAGTCCTGGACACATATGAGAAAAGCAGATTTTACAGCAGGATTATCAACCATTTGGAAGTAGAAATTTCAAATATAACACAACTGAATACAAGAATAGCACATTTGGTAAAGATCTTCTCAGAACCCACAGTAACAATAGCAGAATCAGCGATTGTTCTTTGCTGACATTCAGCATATTTTTCCAATGGTTGTAAAATAGAAAATCTACTACGTTTGACAAAAAGAGGTTCTGTCCCAGAAGAAGGAAGAGGAAAAATATTTTGAGTAAAAATGTGAGCAGTGTGTGATATATTGATTTACTGCCAGTGAGATGAGGAATGTATTAAACTCCTTAATGGAGTATGAGGCTCATGAAAATGTCAAGAAAAAGATATGTGTTCAAACAAAAGATGGATTCACCTCTTTGTTTGTTGGCAGTAGGTCTTGCTGCGTTAATAAGGAAATGAGCAGAGTGAAGTTGTGAAACTAACTATAATTTACCTATAGACGCACTGAAACTCTGGAATAAAGTATCTTGACTCTTCTGTAGCCAAATGTGTTCATCCATTCTGAACATACTGTATGTACGAGCTAAACTAAAATTTAGAGAAATATCTTCAGTGAACGCGAGGACAGCAAGAAACACAAAGATTAATTCAAGTTCAAGTCATTTTGTGGCCAAACTTCAAATATGGAGTTCATCTTCAAAGGCACAATAAAGTATGTACAGCAATATATCTTTCCATCACATAATTCAAAGTAAAGTGCACCATCATCCTGTACATTCACATTGAAGAGTGTGACACAATATGTGGTAGACAGCACTGTGTAACATGCCTTTACCCTTTTCAAGTTGGAGTCTCTAATTGATTCTTTTGGAAGTAAGTGATTTTCTTTTCTTTTCTTTTTTTTTTTTGCAATGACGATTAATGTTTGCAGCACCAAACAGCCAATACCGATGAAGTAGTTACAAATGATTGCAGAAAATTAAATTACCATGCATGAAATGTGGAAATAACAAAATACTCTGATCAGAATGTTATCTTTGATCTACCGGGAAGAATTCATGCACAACAAGGGTGTGTGAGACTGTGCTGTAGACTGCGGAAAGAAAATACACAGAGTGATTCAAACACACTTTTGTGTGCCTGTTAGTTAAAATGTACAAGTAAGGAAATGTTAAACTTCTAAAGCTACTACATAAAGAAACAGTGCAGGTTTTTATAATGCAGTCGTAGTATACAAAATTACAATATAAGTCGAGACCAATTCCTTTGATTTTACCAGTGGATTACTTTTTGTGCTTGTTTTCTTCCACAGATCATGACCATTTACCCCTTTTCCACCGCAGGCACACACAGACACCGAGGACTTGAAGCCCACAACGTATTTCGCAGTATGCAGGAATTCTAGGGCATCGGGTGATTTAAAGATCTCAAACCAACCCGAGGGATACACAAGCAGCCCTTAAGGACAGATAGATCAGCTCTTCTTTAAACCTCAGATTCCAGTTTATTCACAGGCAAGTTTACTGTCAAAGCTGGAGAGGGCAATGGCAAAGGCTTGCAGCGCACACATTGGGTAGTTATAGTCCATTGTGAAGACGTCCTCTGCCACACGGCCGAACTGCATCACAATGTAGTCAGCTGTAAAAGAAAACACGTTTTACTCAATCGACACTGACATAAAAATTTTATTTTTGTCCTAGGAATTTCAAGCTGTCAGTGACAACAGTGAGTGAAAGTGAGGAGACTTTGAAGTGTCCTCTGTCTCCAATACTTGGGCTTATTAAGGGATGTAAGTTGCATGAGGATGGGTGATTGTGTTGTTCAGTTACTTTGCATATGGTATGCAGATGTCCTAGAGGCCCCAACATGGAACCAACTGGTTCCAACATGGATTCCATGTTGGAACCAGTTGGTAAACAAAGACACCCACACACCTTGTGTCATCTCACACTATGTTGTAAAGATTGAGCTCCATGTGGTGGACAAATGCAAAGCAAGACAATCAGCCATGTGTATATCCAATCACTATCAAACTCTGCAAAGTGTTATGCTTTATTTTATTTTTTCTAAAAGTTACCCTTTGTGTCTGGTGATCTTTCCCTTCTGCTTGATTGATGCAGTTGCTCCTTCAACTGCATGTATCACATTGTTGAAATTACGTTGCCACTAAGTTGCCACTAACCTTTATGTGCATTGTATCCATGAAAGCATCTTCCAAAAAATCTAAACTTACTGTATAATTTCGGTAAAAAGCCTAATTGTACACAAATCCCATCAGCTTGATAAACTAGCTCTTAGTTGTAAACACTTGACATTTGTATTTCTTGATCAGTTTCTAAGATTTTTTAAATTGCAGCTCTTTTGATGTCACTCCAAAGAAATTCATTTTAATTGTATCTGATGTCATGAAATTGAGTAAACTATTGTAGCACCTTGGATTATTTTCTTCTGGTCCAGTTTACTATTGCACTGTATTGGCCAAGTTTGGTCCAAGGTTTAGCCAACAATAGACTGACTTCCCAAACTTTCTCATACAGTGGAGTTCCCGGTAACCCCAATCATGACCCCTCTTCCACCATGCTCAACAGTTGTCACAAAATGTTTATGTTTAAACTGCATTGATTTTAGCCAAACATTGTGGTGTGAACAGTAAAAAAAAAACTGTTTTAAATGCAAACCTAAGCTGTGCTGCCATATGCTTTTCAGAGAGAAAAGGCCTTCTCCCGGCAAGACACAAAAGTTAGGAAACAAAGTGAGGACTGTCACGTTTGAGATGTGTAAGAACGAGGAGATTTAGAGAATTGTGCTACTTCAGGTTACTTGTGAATTATCTTTATCACAGCAGAATGCTCAACCTTGCTGAATTTTAAAATAACCACACCCATTTTTACAGATTGAAAAGTGGTTACAATGTCCTTGGTAAAGCCACATAGTTAATAACCACTAATCTTTTCAAAGGTATAAACAGCGTTTTACAGAGCTGGTCACTTTCGCTGATGATTCATTAATAATGTGCATGTAATTAGCAGCATTATGCTGCTTCTTTCCCTCTTGAATCTGATGGAAGAAGTGATGCTGTGATTCGTTTTTCTCATGAAAGTTACTTTGCTCACATCTTTTTTTATTTTGCTGATATCTACACTTTGTTCTCCTCGGCTGTCTCACAAAAGCCCCAAATAACTAATTGATAAAACCTTTCACAGCTAATAAAATGTTCTGTTCATGTCTATTTCTTTACCTGTTTAACAATGTTACTTTTTACAGGAATAGCTTTGCTGACGTCACATCTTTTTAATTTGTTACATTTATTGCCCTCATTGCTAAATTTACTCAATTAAAATGATTTGCCTTGCGGTAATATCCGCTCCGTAAAGTGAGCCAACGAGAAGAAAATCAGACTCTGAACATTATGCTCTCAATGCATCACTGAGAATTTGTATCAATCCCCAAATGTAAAGTGATGTGAACATTTGGCTCTTACGGTCATTGTCATGAATGATTTGAAAGTTTTTAACAGAAGCCTGCGTGACTCTGCCGTGGAAGTTCAGAACGTAGGACTGAGTGTCATCATTCCACACAGGTGTTTTGTTGTGAAGCTCAATCACGCTCTCTGTGTTCTTGTTCTGCCACCTGGCCAACAGTGACTCATGCTCCTGAAATGAACAGCAAACAAACACCTTCAGCAACAGCCATTTCAGTTTTATGACCAATTATAAAACTATTATGGGGAGTCAGATAGTTTAGCACATATGCGGCAGTGAGACCTACGTTACGCGGCCGAATGGACACCCTCTCATGGTCCATGTTCATTCCCGGAATGATGACGCTCATTTTGCGAGGCCCTTTGAATCCTAAAACATTGGTTTCCTGTATCAAATAGATGATTAACTGGTAAAGATACAATAAAATCATGCTTAAACAAAAATGTGCTCTGTTTATAATGTAGCATCCTTCTTAATATCAAAATACTAAAATAAAATGTATAAAACGATAGATTTAGATACATGATTCATTTTGCAAATATCGGCTACATTAAAACTTGGGGTAAAGAACAAACAAAAAGAACATGTAAATAACAATACATTTAAATATGTTCATGATATTATATGAAAAAGTTATTTTTGCACAAATAAAGATATTTTTGGATTAACTTAACATAATGCAATCTTTTTCACCATACATACCCGTACCTTACCCTCAGTATAGATATATACCTATTCTAAAGATATATTTAAGTTGATCATAAGAGTCTCCTTTAGTTGCATAACAGTAAAATCATAAACATGTTTGCAATCTCACATCCCTCTTTTTCTGCATAATATTAAATGTTGCATAACTGCAAATCAGGTAACCATTGCATTTCATTCTCAGAATGTTTATACTCACATAGCAAATGGCAGCTAGTTCTTGGCGAAGATTGCTGGCTTCAAGGCTGGTGGTGCTCTTCATGGGGTTTAGGCCATTGTCATAAACAGTAAACTT